CTGATCGGTAATCCCACTACTACTGGCACATAGCATATGGTATATATCAGCGCCACAATGCCATACAACACAACAGCAATGGTTATGATCGCAGTTTGAGGATGGCACTCAGGATTGAGAATGTTGGCTGTACAAAACCAGCAATTCACTTGTGAGCAGAAGGGTATTGCTGGGCACTCAATTTCCCTCGTGTCGAGTTGCTGTCCGTTCGATATCTTCCATTTGACAGCATATGGGTGCAGTGTGATTTCTGGCGACAAGTGAATCGTCTCTGTTGGCGGTGGATTTTCACGTGTGATGCAGTATCCTTCAACGCAGAGTTCATACAGTGATAGTGTGTTACTAGTTACAAAGAAGACCTTCCGTTGTACAACGGATACTGTCCGCCGTGGTGTTGAGTTCCTACATTTGTAGATGTTTTTTTTATTATTTATTTATTTACTGTTGCCAATAATATTCACAATGAGGAGATAATTTGAGGTACATGTTTACAGTAAAAAAAAAGTCATAACAGCAAAAGAATAATTAGGGGAGGGGGAATGGGGCCAAGGGTCGGAAGGAAGAGGAAGGGCAGTGCCCCGGCCAAACACTGCAAGCCGCGGGGAGGGATCGCGGCTCCGGATACCAGCTTAGTAGGTCCGCCAACCTCAACCGAAGACCCAAGACGGTACGGAGTGGACTTATTGGGAACCGAAAAGGTATTAAAAAAATAATTATTTACAGTATAGTTGACGGGTCATAAAAAGCGAGATGGTATAATATTTTTTACAGTTTGAAAAAAAAAACATGAAACATGATTATCATTCAATTAAACGATACGGAGAAAGGAAATGTTTAAAAAAAAGGCAAACAAGTAGAGGCATAGAGGTAGTAGAAACGGTAGGGAATCGCGGTAGAAGTGGCTGAGCTGAAATAAAACGCTGATTACTTTTCATTCCAACTCAGCTTTTCATGGTATACGTACCATAGCTTTCAGCACTCACACGTCTAACGTGTTGAGCCGGTTAGCCGATATCGGCAATGACCGCGAGGCTGAAAGCTTTAGCAATGAATTTTGACTTGTTTTGTTTGTTAACTGCTGTTTTAATGCCGCAGTTAACAAACAAAACAAGCTGATTACTTTATTTTATCGAGAGGGAAAAAAAGAAAAGAATGTAAAATTGTTATTAACCAAACCCGCAAGATTTTTTGCTCAAAAACTGTCGAGTAGGACCAGTGCTACAGAAGCAGCACATTGGGGCCTTCATCACCATTTAACACATTTCTGAAGTAGACTGTTGTCGCTTTAAATAAGCAGCAAGCTGAGTCTGAAATGTTTGTGAGTGTTTCCATCCAAAAAATTTTACGTTACGTTAAATTTTATGTTACGAGCGGCTTTGATAGAGCGGGTGCTAGAAGGGTGACGAAAGCAAGGAGGAAAAGAGTTTTCGATATCATACCATGGTGAAGCTGCTCGTAATTAACTCGAGGTCGCTTTCGCAGGTTGTACCTCTGTTCTTCTTCTTGGATTTCAGGTTCCTCTGCTGCTGGTGCTGACGGTTCAGTCATGGTATCTTCTGAAGGCTGGCTCGGGGTGTCCATTAGTTCAAGAGGAACGAGTTGATTGATTGGCCGTCTGATTATGCGGCGATTGGGCATAAAAAGGTCGGCTTCTCGAACCACACCCTCAGCATTGGATCTGACATTCAGGATACGTCCCATTTTCCAAGAGTTCCTCGGCATGTTTGGGTCTGCTATCAGTACGACTTGACCAGGAACCGGTTGTTTCGGTGATCCTCGATTGCCTGGTAGGAAGCGCACATGCTGCTCCCTCAGCGAGGTGAGGTATTGCTCCTTCCACAGCTTCCAGAATTTCTCTGTGAACTGATGAGAGCTACGTAGGGCTTCTTCTGCCTGATTTCGGGTTTGCAGTTGCAGAAGTTCCGTTGGCGTACGATAATCAGCGTCATCTGTTGCATCTTTGATTCCTTCCATCGGGTAGGTTATGATCAAGTCACGCTGAATGAAGTCGATGGGTCGTATCAGAGGTTGATCGTCCCAGTGCTCTTCTTGATATGTGGAGAAGTTCACTCATCTTCTCGAAGCTCTACAAGGACCAGCCAGAGAAGCCATACAGAATCTGCAGATTACGGCAGAAAACTACGATCTAGCCGTAAATCTTCTACAATGCCGCTACGGAAATGAGGGAGCCATCATAGGACACCTCTTGACGGCACTCCAATCTATTCCAAACACCAAAGTCCACGATTGCCCGAACAACGGCGAATTTTGCAGAAAGTTACTCTCCTTGTCTCGCAGTTACACTAGAAGGGAAACTCGGACATGAAGCGAGATTGGCTCATTCCAGTTAAAGATTCGAATGGAATTTTGAGATGCCGCGGAAGACTGAAGAATTCAGATCTTGCCGAAGAAACAAAGTTCCCTATTCTTGTCGCCGCGAAAACTCCACTCGCGTTACGACTCATTGAGGAAGCTCACGGTACTCTCCATCTCAGTATGGCGCACACAATGGCCAAGGTACGCGAGAAGTTTTGGATCCCACACTTGAGGAGACAAGTTCAAAAATTCCTTCGACGATGCGTACCGTGCCAGAAGATGAATAACTTGCCATTCCGGTATCCAGAAATGTCCGATCTTCCAAGTAGACGTAAGGTACGTAGCAGGCCGTTTCAACATGTAGGAATCGATTACTTCAGCCCGCTCACCGTTAAACTGCCCACAGAAGAGCAGGGCAAGGCCTTATGAAGTAATCTTGAACATGCACGGTTACTCGCTTACTACACATAGAGTGTGTACCGGACATGACAACGGACAATCTCCTCCATGCTTTACGGCGTTTCTTCGCCAGAAGGGGCGTCCCAGAGACAGTCACATCTGACAATGGTCCCTACTTCCTATTAGGGAGTCAAATTCTGAACGAGGCTGCTGACCAGACGATCAACGATGCAACTGTAGCACAATTTATGGCCACAAAAGGAATTGTATGGTCAACAAACACTCCGTACGCTCCATGGCAAGGTGCTTTCTATGAACGTCTCATCAAGTCAGTGAAACATGTCCAATAATGTATAAAGCGTTATGGATAAGGCCTGCAACTGGGACAATGGAAGCGTTGACCACATTACTAATTGGAATCGAAGGGACTCTCAACACCCGTCCACTCACATATCAGGAAGAGCACTGGGACGATCAACCTCTGATACGACCAATCGACTTCATTCAGCGTGACCTGATCATAACCTACCCGATGGAAGGAATCAAAGATGCAACAGATGACGCTGATTATCGGACCAACGGAACTTCTGCAACTGCAAACCCGAAATCAGGCAGAAGAAGCCATACGTAGCTCTCATCTTCACAGAGAAATTCTGGAAGCTGTGGAAGGAGCAATACCTCACCTCACTGAGGGAGCAGCATGTGCGCTTCCTACCACGCAATCGAGGATCACCGAAAACAACCGGTTCCTGGTCAAGTCGTACTGATAGCAGACCCAAACATGCCGAGGAACTCTTGGAAAATGGGACGTATCCTGAATGTCAGATCCAATGCTGAGGGTGTGGTTCGAGAAGCCGATCTTTTTATGCCCAATCGCCGCATAATCAGACGGCCAATCAATCAGCTCGTTCCTCTTGAACTAATGGACACTCCGAGCCAGCCTTCAGAAAATACCATGACTGAACCATCAGCACCAGCAGCAGAGGAACCTGAAATGAAGAAGAAGAACAGAGGTACAACCTGCGAAAGCGACCTCGAGTTAATTACGAGCAGCTTCACCATGGTATGATATCGAAAACTCTTTTCCTCTTGGCTAGTCACGGCCTTCTAGCACCCGCTCTAATCAAAGCCGCTCGTAACATAAAATTCAACGTAACGTAAAAATTTTTGGATGGAAACACTCACAAACATTTCAGACTCAGCTTGCTGCTTATTTAAAGCGACAACAGTCTACTTCAGAAATGTGTTAAATGGTGATGAAGGCCCCAATGTGCCGCTTCTGTAGCACTTGTCCTACTCGACAGTTTTTGAGCAAAAAATCTTGCGGGTTTGGTTAATAACAATTTTGCATTCTTTTCTTTTTTTCCCTCTCGATAAAATAAAGTAATCAGCTTGTTTTGTTTGTTAACTGCGGCATTAAAACAGCAGTTAACAAACAAAACAAGTCAAAATTCATTGCTAAAGCTTTCAGCCTCGCGGTCATTGCCGATATCGGCTAACCGGCTCAACACGTTAGACGTGTGAGTGCTGAAAGCTATGGTACGTATACCATGAAAAGCTGAGTTGGAATGAAATACGAAGTTATGCAGCGTTTTATTATAGGCTCAGCAGCCACTTCTTACTTCGGTTCCCTCCCTTTTGTACTACCTCTATGCCTCTACTTGTTTGCCTTTTTTTAAACATTTCCTTTCTCCGTATCGTTTAATTGAATGATAATCATGTTTCATGTTTTTTTTTCAAACTGTAAAAAATATTATACCATCATCTCGCTTTTTATGACCGTCAACTATACTGTAAATAATTATTTTTTTAAATACCTTTTCGGTTCCCAATAAGTCCACTCCGTACCGTCTTGGGTCTTCGGTTGAGGTTGGCGGACCTACTAAGCTGGTATCCGGAGCCGCGATCCCTCCCCGCGGCTTGCAGTGTTTGGCCGGGGCACTGCCCTTCCTCTTCCTTCCGACCCTTGGTCTCTTTTGTAACTAGTAATACACTATCACTGTATGAACTCTGCGTTGAAGGATACTGAAATCACGCGTGAAAATCCACCGCCAACAGAGACGATTCACTTGTCGCCAGAAATCACACTGCACCCATATGCTGTCAAATGGAAGATATCGAACGGACAGCAACTCGACACGAGGGAAATTGAGTGTCCAGCAATACCCTTCTGCTCACAAGTGAATTGCTGGTTCTGTACAGCCAACATTCTCAATCCTGAGTGCCATCCTCAAACTGCAATCATAACCATTGCTATTGTGTTGTATGGCATTGTGGCGCTGATATATACCATATGCTATGTGCCAGTAGTAGTGGGATTACCGATCAGAGTTCTGCTCGTAATAACACAACGAATCTTCAGCATGTGCTTCCTGGCAGCATACACCTGCTTTTCGAAACTGCGGGTCAAGCTAACTCGAAGGGCACAACCAACAAAATTCATTGCTCTTTTGTTCATTATCTGTATCGCACATCTTGCTCAATCATGTCAAGACGTTGACGTGTTCGAGCTACGCGCAACTACCTGCATACGATCAGGAGACGGCAACAGAACTTGTGCAGTGGATATTACTCAAATGCTCAAGATGAATACGTTTCATCGAGAAACATGCTTTCGACTTCTCACACGAGACACCCTTCTGAAAGAAATACGACTGGAATGGAAGCGTCTTCAGCTGATATGCGACAGACAAACAGTTATGTTCACGAGGCATGTTATCCAGCAAGTGATAGATTCGAAGCGGTGTCCACGAACAGGAAGTTGTAAAGGCCGAAAGTGTGCAAGTGTCAACACACAATCTCTGGTCCCGGAACTATCCCAAGGTTGCTTTATTAGTGTGGACGTTATGTTTGATTCTTTTTTTTCGAAGTTGTATCGTTTTTTTTTCCACATCTGGCCTGTCTGCACAGTATAAATCTAAATCTAAATCTAAGGAAACAAGTTTCCTGGAATCACCCACTGTGTGGAGAGTTGCGGTGGCATAGGATGTGGATGTTTCTACCCTAGCAGTGAATGTCTGTTTTACCGAATATATGCTACTCCCGTAAACGACAACATCTACGAGATATTCCGCTGCTTTACGTTGGAAGGAAGTAGTGTTGGGAATCTCGATAACCGAAGCTAAAGGAGAGACCACGGAGAAACACTATAATACTTCAACCAACTATTCCACAGAACGTAGGAACCATGAGAATCACCCTATCTTCGGTCACCGTCACTCCTACTCCGGCACTACAAACGTGGTTTATTACCGAAGGTAATAATACGGCACGATGGACAGGATCAAACATTCCAACTTTGGAATGCCCTTCCAAAAAAGCCGCGAAAGTGTTGGATTGTGAGATTCACACTAACTGTAGATGCCAGCCCGCAGAGGATAAAATGAACTGTATTTGCACTGATACCAACATCACCAAAGATTTCAATAGCGAACTTCGCAACCGACTACCACTGCGATACCCATGGATTGAGTTCGAGGAATACCATCCCAAAGAGGAACTCAATACAGTAAAGGCGATACCTACCGCTTGTCCACAGCTGAACTGCTTGTGACCATCAAAGAAGATTACGACTCCACAGTGAAAGAAGTGACAGATACGGTATGCCCAGTAGGCGGCACTACCATAACAGGATGCTTTGTCCACATGGAGCACTCAGCGAAATCGTGTGCTTCTCGCAAGGAGAAATCAACATGGCCTCTGTACCCTGCGGAGAAAACACCTTCACAGTGTCATGCAA